GAAAAGAGCTCTCCCCCAAATCTTTTTAAATATTTAGATTCAGTGGGGCCTCCCTGGTGGCGCAAGGGGTTAAGCAACGCACTATGAAGCAATCTGCAGCCTCTGCAGCAGGAGTTCGATCCCCGGCTGGCCAGGGAACAACTCACGTGATGAAACAGACCTCTCCTGTCTCACCTGCTGCTCCCCTCAGCAGTGTATTTCAGTCTGTCTGCCTGTTCTGCTCCCCACTCTGTCTCTAGTGAATCCTCTCACCCCCTCCCCGTATCTCTGGCCTGTACCCCAGCTCTTGTACACATAAATCATAATTAAATAAATAAATAAATAAATATTTAGATTCATTGTAAAGGGAGTAAAGCACGTATAAACACCTAAATATGTTCTCTCCTTAGCAAGCTATTACTTCTTTTCTCCCAGAGCACAGGGTTTGGGAGAGATTGAAGGTACTCTGGGAAACGTGTTTCTGTGTATTTGTTTCCTTTGCTTTGCTCCAGGTGTCTGATGAGGAGCACGTGCCTTTCCAGAGGAGGGAGCACAACAGGAGTCAATACTAGATTTCTTCCCTGGATAGAGTAAGGCAGTCTTCACCAGGCACTTCCTAGCGACCAACCATAATCTTCACAGTAACATCCTTAAAGCATGGGGATTAGAAATTGGGGGGAAGGAGGGAGGGAATATGGGGAGTGATGTACAACCCTCCTAAGCAATTTATAGACACACGTTCAAAAAGCTGCAAAAAATAAAGCAATTCATAGGTTTGTGTTCAAAATCTGCCTGGGTACAAGTCCCACCTCATGACTCACTAGGTCTGTGATTGTGAACAGTTTATACAACCTCTCTGAGACTAACCTGTCAAATGTGAAGAGTTCTGGAAGGCAAGAGATACAGGGCATGAAAATAGATGACTTTTATTTTTGTCTATCTACCTGTCAAACCCTGGGTCTTAAGTGGTGATGACCCTGGCCTGTATTATTCACCACAAAGCAGCTCTAGGGTGCACTTCAGGTACTTTTTAAGAATGGTGATAACATTTTCGCTGTGAAAGGTAAAGTGACAAAAATAAAGCCCATATAGTGTGCACTCTGTCTGACTGGAATCCTCTCTATAATACACATACACACACACACACACACACACACATACACACAGACACAAACACACATGTAAAACATATGCACATAAATGCACAGATGCACATACATACAGTCACACCCACATGCATAATTTCTGTGTATATTTTACCTATTAATTCAGACATCACTTCCTCGGAATAGCATTCCCTGATCCCTGGACTCATAGTCTATGTATATGCTATTATAATACCCTTTACTTTTCCTTCATTGACTTATAGTTGTGATTACACATTAGTTTGACAACTTGGTTAATGTCTATATCAGGTAATCAGTGTCTCAGTTTGCCTAGCATGGAGCGTTCTCCAGGACACAGGACTTTCAGTGCCAAATCTGGGGGAATTCTGACCCACGCTGAATGATTGGTCATCTAGTCTGCTCCCTTTCACGGTGGCGTATACGCCATGCTCCATGAAGGCGGGCACTGTGCTTTCTTGTTTACCATTTACAAGGCACAAGCTGAGCTCACAATAGAACTCAGAATATATCTCTTGAACCAATAAAGGAATGAGTAAATATGTCAGCATAAGCCAAATCGACTTGCCTACAGAAACCTTTTTTTCCCCTCAAGTGATTATTCTCATTTTAATTGTTAAATGTGCCCATTTTTTATAAACTACATCTATTTGAGAAAATGTTAATTTGAAAATATTGTGTTGCTTCCTTATCTTCCCTTACCCCCTGCCAGTTTGGGGATGGGAAAACCTACTGATTTGAGATCTCATTAATTTAGTGGAAAGAGAACCAGGTTATTTGGGATCCAGACACTGAAAGGTTTGGTCAGCTATACTCAAATGCTGCACTGTAAATTTCATGAGGGCAGAAGTTACAGATTGTCACCACGATATCCCTAGGGCCCAGCATAATACCAAGCATATTGTTGAAGCTAAATAAATATTTCTGAGATAAATGAATAAATAGAGTCTCTGCTCAGCCTGCAGATGTGGGGGAGTAGCTAGAGCTGGCATACTGAATTCCCCTTCCCTCCTCACCTTCTAGCTATACCTTGCCGCAACCATCAATACGAGTTCAACATCCTTTCCTGCTGGGGGGATGAGAGTTTGTGCCATTCCAGATGTGTGATGCATACATGGTCCATCCCTGCCTGTCCTAGCTCCCCTCTTCATATACATATTTCCTAATACCTAGAGGGACTTCCATGGTCTGCTGCAAAAATTTTTAAGTATCTGAATACTAAGGTCACCTCTGTCTTATCTACATTACTTTGTTCAACCTATTCTCATGACTTAGAATGCCTGTTCCACTTTACCTGGCTAAATCTGACTAGTATAAGCATTTTTTTAAGGTTTATTTTTTTTTTAAGATTTATTTATTTATGCAAACAAGAACTGGGATACAGGCCAGAGGTGGGGGGGGGTGGTGAGAGGATTCACCAGAGACAGAGTGGGAAACAGAACAGGCAGACTAACTGAAATATACTGCTGAGGGGAGCAGCGGGCAAGTCAGGAGAGGTCTGCTGTGCCATGTGGGTTGCTCCCTGGTTGGGATGGAACTTGTGCTGTAGAAACTGCAGAAAGCATCATAGGTTGCATCTTAAAACCTTGCACCACCAGGGAAGTCCAGTTTAACATTTTCTAAGAAGCCACCTCTGAACCATTTCACTTGGCACCTCCTGTGCCTCTCCATTCTGTGTTTTGTCTTTGTCATTCTGTGGACCACACTGGATTCTATTTGTCTATTTACTTATCGACCTCTCCTCCAGATAGAGAGTTCCTTAAAGGTAAGAACCCTTTCTGATTCATCCCTGTGTCCCTAGCACCCAACAGAGAGAGTTGGCATGTTGTTATATATTAGGTGGCTAGAGTTTGTCAAAGAAGAGACTATGTCAGTTTTCTACTGCCACAAAAATGCTGTGTAACAAACAAACACAAAGTCGTAAGTAACTACAAGAAGATTTACTTTTTTTCTTTTTATTAAGGTAGCATGAGGTCATAATACTGTAGTTTTGAGGTGTACAAATGTTTCTCACCTCAACAACTTTATATTTCACACCATGACCACCACCAAATGTCCAGTCACCACCTACCACCAACCTATTCCCTCTCTTTCCTTTCCCTTCAAGTAACTGCCATTCTGTTTGGCCAAGTCTAAGAGATTGTTTTTGTTTAATTTTATTTGTTGATTTGCTTTTCTTCTGTATGTCCCACAAATGAATGGAATCAACAAGTATTTGTCTTTCTCCTTCTGATTTTTCCCACTTAACGTAAGCCCCTCAAATGGCAAGATTTCATCCTTTTTATGGATGAGTAGTATACCACTGTGTGTACAGACCACATCTTCTTAATCTACTAGCCTGTCCTCACACACTTGTGATGTTTTCATATCTTGGGTATTGTGAATAGTGCCTCAGTGAACATAGGGGTGCATGTATCTTTTCAAATTAGTGGTTTTTTTCTTTTCCTTAAAAAGATAAATTTTATTTATTTATTTTTTTTAAAGATTTATTTATTTATATAAGCTCTGGGTACAGTCAGAAGCGCGGGAGGGTGAGAGAATTCACCAGAGCCAGAGCCAGAGCGGGGAGCAGAGCAGGCAGAAGAACCGAAGCACACTGCTGAGGGGAGCAGCGGGCGGCAGGAGAGGTCTGCGCGCCATGTGGGACCCTCCTCCGGTGGCCGGGGAGCAGCCGGGGATCGAACCGGCGCTGCAGAGGCTGCGGGCAGCTTCGCAACCCAGCGTACAACCACTGCGCCACCGGGAAGGCCCTTATTTATTTTTTATAATTTTTTACATCATTGTTCATTTTTAAGCAGTATTTGCTTCTCCCCATCCCCTCAGGTGTAGTCCCCATAGAGTTTCCTTCCCCAAGGCACCCGTGCACCATCACCTCAGTCCCCTGTGCTCCTCCCACCCTCCCCCTGATCCCTCTCCCTCCTCCTCCCCTGCAGGATGTCTCTGATTTATACTTGTCCATTTTTGCTTTGTTGTGTTTTGTACTGTTATTATTGTTTTACACTGATGTCTTATTTGCTTCCCCTATATTTCTGTTATAAGTGAAACCATCAAAAAATTAGTGTTTTCATAATCTTTGGATAAATACCTAGAAGTAGAATTACTGGGATCATATGGTAGTTCTATTTTAACTTTTTGAGGAAATTCCATGCTGTTTTCTGTTGGGACTGCCATCAACAGTATACAGGAGGCTTCTTTTTCTCCATATCCTCATCAACACTTGTTTTGCTTATTTAACAAGACATATTTTGTTCACAAGTCTGTCACTTGGCTGGATGATTCTAGTGATCTGGACCTGCCAGCTATTGGTTGACTGGAAGGGTTGGCTGGTCGTGTTTAGGTTCCCTCCTTTATGGGCAACATCAGAGCCATTGCAATGGCTTTTCTACCTATCAACAGCATGTTTTTATGGAAAAAGGAGAGGAGCAAAAGAGATGCAATCCTCTTGCGGCCTGGAGCCAGGACACTGGTGCAATGTCACTTCCTCCTCATCCTGTTGGCCAGAACAAGTCACAAGTCAGACCTGCATTCAAGGGGCAAGAAAATATATCCCACATCTCAGAGGAGCTGAGAAGTCTCATTACAGAGGAGGCGGAAATAGGAAGGCATACAAAATGTCAACCATCTTTGCTATCCGTCCACTGTGGGGGGAGCCAACCAGGAAATGTTTCACCAGTTTCTTTCCAAGTTTTCTTTTTTATTACTCTGACATCAGAATGAATTTATCAGAAAAGTTTCCAAAGATGAAGCCTTGCCCTTCCTTGGGAATGAGTGACATCCTTACCATAAAAGTCATTTAATAAGCTGAATTCCATGGTTACAGAAACATCAAAAGGGAGGAGCCTCCTTCTCAGGCTCTCAGGGTCCCTATTTTCATATACTTTTTCCCTTTCTTTCCAGATCAACAAGAACCCAATTTTTGTCCCAGGCGTCTGGGGCCCTTATTTCTCAGCCATGGTCCCTGGGTTCTGGCTGAGTGAAGGTGGTCAGAGCGTTACTGGAAAACTGGTAAGTTGACACTTTTTCCATATGATCTTTAATGTTTTTATACCTTTGACAGGTACCTTTGTCCCACTACCCATATAGCCAGGATCTGGAATGCAGACTCCTACCTCAGAAGAACTGACTTTCTCTTAGCATACAGACTAACACGTGGTGTGTGTGCAGCAGTAGTTTGCCAAAGGAATACATGCTGGTTCAGGCAGTAGTGACTAAGGTCTCTTCTCAGCTATCCTCAGCACAACTATCCTTTTTCTTCATGGCAGCAAGAGTGATGTTCTACTGTGTGAGAAGGACCATGTTAATCTCCAACCAAAATCCTTCAGTGGTTCCCCAGAGCCCTCAGACAGATGGTATTCTGGGCTCCTCATATCCCCTGTGGTCTGTCCATTGCAGCTTCCCCCATGTACTTGTCACTAGGCAAGATGACCCTACGCACAGCTCACCCATAGTTCATCTCAGTCACCTTCTCTGTGCCTTTGAGTTTGCTTCTTTCCCTGCTCAGAGAATTCTTTACCATTTTGATAATTTCACTTTTCCTTTATGACACAATTTCAGTTATTTGTACATTCTGTTATCATATTGGTTTCCTAGTCTGTCTTCCAGGAGACTTTGAGCTTTTTAAAGATAAGGGCCATAATTATACTTAGTGTAACAAGCTCAGTGCCTGGTTTATAGAAGTGCTTGATAAAAATATCCTTGGAATCATGGGGTTGTCTAATAGGAGAGCCAGAAGAGCTCTAATAGTGAGATGAGTACTATTCCGGAGATGCAGGGCAAAGAGTTGGGACAAAACTAGGTAAATATAACTTGCAAGGAAGAAAGCATTTGTGCTGACTTTTAAAAGAGAAATAGGAGCAAACCAGACAAAGCAGGATGGGCATACTCTTCTAGACAGAATACTGGCATAGGAACAATGGGAGTGAAAAATAACAAGGCATACTTGAGGGTAATTGCAAATGGTCCAGAGTTTCAGTTGTGGCATAAACTGTTGTTAAGAGAATGACTTACAATAAAAGTTAGAGATCTGGGCAGGGACCACATCATAAGAAGTCCTTGTAAACATGCGAAGGAATTGAACTTTATCTAGTAGACCAAGATGAACCAGCAAATGGTTGAAAGAATGAACTTGATATAGTCAGACCTCAGCTGTAAATCTCTGCCTGGCGACAGTAAGGACAGAGGACTCTAAGCACATGACTGGAGGTAGAGAGACCACTTTTAGTATGCCAGCCTGCACACAAAATGCCATGAGGGCTTGAACGAAGAAAGTGCCTATGAAGACTGAGAATTGAGGTCAAGAGATCAGCAGGCCTCAGAGGGAATGGGGGTGGAAATGAGGGAAAATGAGACCTCAGTTCACTTACCCAACCCTACATTAACTATGTTATATTGAAATCATCTGTTTATGATCTGATTCGCCTACCAACTCCTCTAAATGTTTAGCTAAATTAAAAGTGATCTGACCCAAAGCCGAATAGGCATGCAAATAACCATTAGTTTCCATTTCTTAGTATATTGCTATTTTATACTGGGCTCCCTCAAATTCTCTGTAAAAGCCTGTGGAAGCATAGGTAGATGGCTGGGCTCGGTGGGCATGTTCTGTGCCCTTGCTTTAGTGCCAGCGTATAGAGATGAATATAATGAACTAGACCCCATCAAACCCTGAATTGAATAAGCTTATTGTCCAAAAGGGAAGTTTAGTGAATATAAAATGACATCTAATTGATGTTATAACCAGAGCTAGAAAAACTGAGACCACCGTATGCCTAAGTTGAAATGGGACTTGAGTTTTGCATGCTCCTATTTTAAACTAGTGTCCTGTATTTGCACAATTTTCAACTATTCATTCCCATTCTATGACACATTGAGAACCCATTACTGAAATACAGTCTGTTTTAACCCCACATCATGGTCTAATCATCCTTAGCAGACCCAGAACTCATAACTGACACAATCCAGAGGCATTTTTTTAAGAAAAATAACAATCCTTTAAACCACTTCTTTGTGCATGATGCATTGTCCATGAAGCTGTCCATCAACAGGTTTTCGGAGGCTTAGTATGCAAATGAAACATCTGTGTCAGTCTGGAAAAGCTTACCCCAGTATTTGGCTCAAAGTTTGAGCTGTTGCCATGGATATAAGCTCTCTTTACCCAAACGTATGACAAATCTTTGTGGACAAGACTCGGGTATGCCTGTTTCCTGAGTCTGAATTTAAATAAAAAATGTGATTTCTTTCTAGCCATCAATAAAATCTTCATACAATAATCCACTGGGATTTTCAACAGGAGTTATAGTGATTGTTGGTCTTTATCTAGTTAGTTGATTTTGCATCATTAACTAATCAAAATGAGGATGTAGCTTCACTTTGGGCTGTCCACATACAGGGTTTATTGACATGACCGTGGAGTCTGATTGACCCATGAGGTGCAAAGTGAAATCTTACAAAAATCTAAAAGCTAGCATAATGGACCAGAATCTGAATCTGAACAAAATAGATTGACTAATAAAACCTCAGTCCAGAGAAGCCAAACAAAGAAACAGAAACTACCTATAAAATAATTAGATGAAATAATAATAACAATAATGAAGATAATAACAAAAATGACACCTTACTGAGTGTGCTTTTGTGTTCATGGAAGCATGATCTTGTTAATCATTGAATGACATGCATAATAATCACAAGATCTAATATTTATTTTGAAGACTTATTTTCCAGTCTCAGTTCTAAGAGCTTTTTATATAATCTCTCATTCCAACCTCCTCCCTATGCTGCTCAACACAGAGCTAGCCGCAGGAAGTCAGGCAGTCTTCCATAAGTGGGTGCATAAGGAGCTCGCTGTGGGCACAGTGTCGTACTTGGTATAGTGATCATGATTTCATCCCTGTACGCATTTATTTATTGTGATGACTGTGGGCAAGGAAAAAAAATGGTTTCATGGTTCTTGTCCTCTAGTAGCTTATCCTCAAATGGGAAAGTTGGATATAGAAACTATCATTATAATTATAAATTGTAGCACATAAAAGTAGATTGCACTACCCCTGCCACCTTCTGGGAAGGCAAGGGCTAATACTCTTTGAGTAACTTATCATGTGCCAGTCACTTCTAGGCCCTTATTAAGATTCAGCCTTTCTTTGGCTCTTCACAGCTTGTCTGGGTGGTAAGTGTTATGATTGTCAGTTTTACTAGTGAATAAAGAAGCTCAGAACAGTGAGGTCACTTGATGAAGTTCTTACTTAGAAGTGAGAGAGAGAGCCTTGATTCACACACAAATGGACTACAGGAGGCTCCAGATCTTTCCCAATCTGGACCTCACTTTTGTGGACCTGCATTTCTGAGTTTTTCTTCTAGTATTTTTTGGTAGATTTCCTAAAGAAGCAACTATCATCAGTTTATGTGACTTTCTTTCCAAGTGTATTGAAGCAGATAGAGCTGACACACTTTGTAACCATGAGAATAAAGCATATGAATATCAGTATAGTCAGGATCCATGTAAAGCCATGGATGTATACCCAACATTTCACATTAGCTCATTGGAAGGACTTCATGGGATACAAAACTAACTCTGCATAAACAAATGTCTTTTTGGTCCCTCCTCCTGCCCAGGCTTTTACTCAGTTGTATCCCTGAGATCCCGCACAGCTCCCTAATTATCTTATGTCTAAACTTTCCACTCAGAAAACCTATAACTTGGTTCAGGCTTCTACCTAATATACACTGGGTAGCTTGTAAACAGTAGTACTTTATCACAATTCTGGAAGATTAATGTCCATAATAGGACCCTGGCACAGCCATTCCGGTTAGGACCCTTTTCCAGGTCACAGAGATATCTTTACATGGTAGAAGGGGAGAATGCTGGTCTCTTCAGGCCCATATAAAGACACTAATCTGGTTCATGAGAATTCCAGCTTCTTTACGTAATCATCTCCCTAAGGTCCCACTTCCCAATACCACCTCATTAGTGGATAGTATTTCAATGTATTAATTTGGGGAGGACACAAACATTTAGTCATAATGGCCTCTCTAAAGACTGCAGCTAATGAAATCTCCCTAAAATATAGACATGACCCTATCATTCTTGCTAGCACTCCCATTACCTATGGAATTAAGTCAAAACTTGAGAGTGATGCCTGTTTATACAACTAATATTTATGGGGTACTTACTATGTTTGAAACACTCTTTTGAGTGAGAAAAAGTGAATACAACATCCTCTTCTGTCTAACCTCCAAAAATCTGCCCACTTATTAAGAGGAGACAGATGATATACAATAAATAAAATTAGAAAATATTAAATAAAGTTTAGTATTGGTATAAGTTATTAAAATATAGTGAAAGCAAGCTTGTGAGTGCAGGTGAACAATATGCAAATTTCAATAAGGCCATCAGGGAAGCCTTCATTGATGTGACTTTCAAACAGCAAGGAAGACAAAGAAGTTAGCATTTGGAAACCTAGGGGATGAACATTCCAGGTCAAGGGAATAACCAGTGCAAAGATCCTGAGGGGGTTGCTTGCCTGAGGTGTTACAGGAACAGCAAAGAGACCATATGAATGGAGGAGAGTGAACCAAAATATGAATTGCTGGGGTAAATTCAAAGAGATAATATGAGTTATATTATTGGTACATGTAAGATTTTTGGCTTTTATGTGAATGGAATGGGAAGCCACTGAAGAATAATGAACCCAGGAGAGAGATGATATTATTTAGGCTTTTAAAGTATGGTTTAAAACTATCCTGCTGCCTTCTATGTTGGGATAGATCGTGGGGTGTTTTGGGGGGATATGGAAGGAAAGAGAACAGAATCTGTTGTAGTAAGCCAGCCGAGATCTGATGATAATGTTAATAGAGCTCTTAAAAAGTGGTTAGAATTGGGATGTATTTTGAAGGCAGAGCAAACAATTTCCTGATTAGAAAGAATAAGAGGTCAAGGTCTTTGAAAGATAGCTTTGCTATCACTGGAGAAGATGGGCTAGATGCCAGAGGGCTGGGAGGGGAAGGATAGAGTC